TTTGGAAAAATGTCTATTCAGTTCTGCTCATTTTTTTTGTCTTTTTTTTTAATGTTGAGTTGTATATGTTGGCTATTAACCCCTTATTGGTCACATCATTTGCAAATACTTGAAATATACAGAATCAAACGGTGCAGCTGGTGAGTATCATCCCAACCATGCCTGTCTTTCTCCCCACAAGCCTGTAAATCTAGTTCGAGCTTGAGCTGGGTGGGAACAAGTTTAAATCAAATGTGAAAGTAAAACTTGGTAACTAGATTTGACCAAATAATTTTTACAAAAGCTATGATATTTGTGCTAGAGATTTTATCACCAAGGCGGGGGGAAATGGTTTCACCTAACACAAAGAATAGTTGTGTGAAAGAATAAGGTTCTTAACGAAACTCTGAAAATAGCCAAAATGCCTAACTGTATGACAGTGGTTAAGTAGATTATGTGCACTCACAGGTGGGTAGTTTATTTAGTCGTTTAAAACTGTTTCCAGAGAATTTTTAGTGATGTTGTTAAAATGCTCATGATATATGTAAGGGGAAGAGTCAGGATATAAAATTGTATATGAGAATTCCCATCTCTTACCTAGGTTACTGTAAAGGCCCTAATTATCACCCTTCTGCTGCTCCAATATGCTCTTTATGCTGCAGCTGGTCACCTGTCTACAACAAAAAGCTGATGTCACATGTGCCCTTCAGGATAAAATCTCTATTTCTTTTCATAGTTTACATGTATCTCTCTGGTCATGCCTGTCTCTCCTACTTCATTTTTTTTCAATTATCCACTTCATACCCTGTTTTTAAAGTTGTGTCCCGGGCCGGGATAGTTCCTCTGAGCTCCATATGTGTGTAGACAGGTTAACATGTCTTTCTGGTTGTCTCATAGGCATCTCAAAATTAAAATATGCAAAAGTAGACTTTGGGGTTTTTTTGGAGCTCTCACTTTAAAATTGAACTTCTAATTCCCTCCAACACACAAACTGTTGTCCTATGCCAACCTTTTCCAACTCAGTAAATGGATACCTCAACCCGCCCAGTCACCAAAGCCAGAAGTTCAGGAATCACCCTTGAGTTTCATCTCCCTTCTAACTTCAGCTTGCCCTTGCCCTCGCGCCTCTCTGACCCCTCACTGTGTCGGGGTACTTCAGCCTCTCAACTTCCATTTGTAACTGGTGGCTCTGTAACTGTGCCCTAGTTCAAATTACTAACAGATTCTAGTTGATTCAGCTTTGTCCCTCCTGGTGTTGTGATGTCCTGAAGGAAGAGTCAGCCCATCTTGCTGGTTCTAACGTTTCATCAGTTTTTCAGCATGTCCCCTCTCTCGGCAACAGAAAGGCTTTGCAGAAATTTTTTCAAAGCCGCATCCAAAGTGAGAAAACATGGACAGGTAGAGGTAGGAAGGAAAGAGCTCCAAACCAATTTTCGTTTCTGACAACACACACTGTTGTGTGTACACCCTGAGTGTTTCACTTCAGTCATTTTTGTTTCATGTCTAGTTTTTACTCGTTTCTTTTTTTTTTTTTAAATACAAGCTTTCTTGAGATACAATTCACAGACCATAAAATTCACCCCTTTGAAGTATACAGGCGTATCTCGGAGATATTGTGGGTTCACTTCCAGACCACCACAATGAAGAAACTATCACAATAAAGCAAGTCATGAGTTTTGTGGCTTCCCAGCACATACAAACGTTAATGTTTACACTATACCATTGTTTGCTAAACGTGCAATACCATTATGTCTAAAAATGCTTAATTAAACCTTAATTAAAAATACTTTCTTGCAAAAAATGCAAAAGCAGTTACAAGAGTAACATCCAAGATGATTTGATCACAACACAATACAATAGTAATGGAAAATTTTGAAATATTGTGAGAATTACCAAAACGTGACACACAGACATGACGTGAGCAAATGCTGTTGGGAAAATGGCGCTGCCAGACTTGCTCAACACAGGGTTGCCACAAACCTTCAATTTGTAAAAAAAACATAGTATTTGCAAAGCGCAATAAAGCGAAGCACAGTAAAATGGGGTGTGCCTGTAAACCCACAGCAAAGTGGGTTGGTTGGTTTGTTTTTAGTGTATTCAGTTACGCAACCAGTACTGCTACGTAATTTTAGAACACTTGGTTCCTTTTTAAACTTTTGTTTTTAGCTGCTGAAAATTTCAAATCATATTGTCTGTCTCCTCAAGCATAGCATAGTGGTTTTATACTCAGGTTACTTCAGTATCTGATGCCTCTTGGTCTACTTCAGATGTTCATTTTTTATGCCAGTTTTGCCTTTAATATTTTCCTGTGTGCCTAGTTATTTTTTAACTGTGTGCTAGATGTTTAATTTGTAAAATAAACCATTTGCAAAATAAATCATTGCAGAAATCATTGACGCCTAAGG